GGCCTCCGTAGGGTTCGCGCGCGCACAGTCGGGGTTGGGGCTGGACAGGGAATTGGCAAAGGCAGTCCCCCTTTCATCCACCCCTTCTCCCGCAGCTGCTGATCCAGTGTTTCCAGGTGGTGCTGGCCTCCCACCTGCAGGGCGAGTTCACCGTAGAGATGCAGGCGGCATGGGATAAGTTCTTGACGGGCGTGGCGGTGGTGCTGACCGAGAAGTACCGCTGAGTCCCCTGCCCCGCCGGCTTCGATCTCTGCATGTCAATAAACAGGCCTCAAACGGCTGGACCCTGCGCGTGTGTGGTCTTTGGGGAGCGGGTGGTCTGTTATTGCGCCTGGGCAGAGAACCTCCGGGTCCTATGTGGAGCCTCCCGGAATCTTAGGGCGCGATCCCAGACCTCTGCGCACAAAAGAACAGGGGCCCAGGACTCTCAAATGGGGACAGTTCCTGGGTTGACATTCCCGGGTCTGGGCAGGGTGTGGATCCCCAAAGCCTTGAACAGAACAATTGCCCTCCTGTGATGGGGAAATGGGGGAGGCAGGTGGGTGCTAAGATGAGGAAGGTTCTCAGGGTGCAGTTCATTTACAACACACCCACGGTGACACACCGTTCACAAAGCACGTTTGCATTCCATCATTCATTCATTCTCCCTCCATCCCTTCCGCTGGGGGCTACCAACTGGAATCCTCTCCTCTTTGGCAGACAAATGCAGGCACCTAGGCCCAAGGGTCAAGTTCCTGGCCAGAGGTCAGAGTTAGGGGCCAGGACCCCTCTGACCTTCTTTGCTTCCTCCCCTCCCCGTGGCGCTCAGTCTGCAGTGAACTTTGCCCTAGCCAAGTTAGCCCCTTCCTCTTGAGTTTCCTGGGGTGGGGGACTGGGGTAGGAACTCCTGATGGCCACGATCAGGCAGACAGAGCAGGTTTCTAACCCCGTTCACACAACAGCTCTGTGATACTGGACATGTCCAGGAGCCATCTGACCCTATTGCATCCGATATAAACACAAACAAACAAAAAGCTGACCCCTCGCTGGGTCTTTGAAATAATTTATAAGATCATAAAGCAGGGTCAGTACCTGGCAGACCCAGGGCCACCCAACCGCCACTCCAGCCCCAGCCAAACCTTTCAGTGTCTGCGGGTCCCCCAACCAAGGCGTTCCTCTCCTTCACCCCCAGACCCAGTTCCCAGGGTCAATCTCTCCCCCCTCCGCGACATCGGGGCAGGAATCAGCGCTGTACTGAGAACCTTCTCCAACAATGGAACGAGGCCAGGGAGCGGGACTCCGGGAGCCCGCCAGACTTTGGATGAGGAAGGTTCTCAGCTGACAATCTCGGTGGGTGCAGGGAGCATTGAGCCCGACCTGAACGGACGCACCCAAGTCCGAAGGATGCCGGAGGGTAAGCCCTGACGGTGCCTCCGCCCAACTACCCACCCCACTCCGCAGTCGGTGCCTGCACCTGTTACCCTGCAGTGGTGGGGAGCGCCTGCCCACCATTAGGGGAAGGAGAGCTTGGAGCACCTGATCCCACATTATCTACTTCACCCTCATTGTTTACATGGACAATCTACAGCTCTTGGTCCTGGGGAAAGTTTGGTGCGAAAACAGCTTGTTTCACTTCGGAAAATATTGTGCTCTCCTTCCCAACCAGCAAATACCCCAGGTTCGGAGCCAAAAGCAGGTGCGCAGCGGGTGGGTCGGGAAATTGTGTGGGCTCCCTGGAACCACAGGAGTGGAAATGGAGGGTACCATAGAGAACTGGATCTCGGTCTGCACTGGACGGGGAGAGGGCGGCCTTGGGACCCCCACCAGCACTCACTGGGGACACCTCCTGGCACTGGGCCAGCCAATGAGCATGGCCCAGGCGGGCGTGCCCCTCGCACCCCAGGCATAAATGCTCCACACACTCCCCGCCCGGCGCATTTCTGGTCCTCACATAGACTCAGGAAGAACCCACCATGGTGCTGTCTCCCGCCGACAAGACCAACGTCAAGACCACCTGGGATAAGCTTGGCGGCCACGCTGGCGAGTATGGCGGAGAGGCTCTGGAGAGGTGAGGACCCAACCTTCCCCTATTGGGATCAGGGCTCGGGGACCCCTCGCGGCCCTTGTCGTCCACCGCCCCACCTAACCCTGGCTCGCCCACCCCTTCCTCCCGCAGGACCTTCATGTCCTTCCCCACCACCAAGACCTACTTCCCCCACTTCGACCTGAGCCCCGGCTCCGCCCAGGTCAAGGCGCACGGCAAGAAGGTGGCCGACGCGCTGACCACCGCTGTGGCCCACATAGATGACCTGCCTGGTGCTCTGTCGGCTCTGAGCGACCTGCACGCGTACAAGCTGCGTGTGGACCCCGTCAACTTCAAGGTGAGCACGCGCGGGCCGGCCCGGAGAGATCTGGGGCAGGAGGGCGCAGCGGGGCCTGCTAGCAGGGCGGACGGCCCCCGGGTTCCGGCAGGTGGAGCGCGGGTGGCCGCTGACGTCCCCTCTCTCCGCAGCTCCTGAGCCACTGCCTGCTGGTGACCCTGGCCTGCCACCACCCCGCGGAATTCACCCCTGCGGTCCACGCCTCCCTGGACAAGTTCTTCAGCACCGTGAGCACCGTGCTGACCTCCAAATACCGTTAAGCTGAAGCCGCGGCGGTCCCCCTGTCCCCGGCCCGGGGCTCTCTTGCGCTCGGCGCACCTCAACTTCCCGATCTTTGAATAAAGTCTGAGTGGGCTGCAGCCTCTGTACGCCTCCGTTCTCTTTGTCTGCGAACGTGCCGCGGCGCCGGGAGGGGGCGGGGGTCTCCTCGCTTCGCACCAGGGACCTGTCCGCAGCGGCCAGGGGAGGGAAGGCAAGAAAAGGGCAGAGGAGGGGAGTGGGGCGGGTTCTGCTGCCACTGCCTGGGATTCCGCATCCGCACCTGGAGTGCTCCCTTTGCGTGCGTTCCATGTCCCGCGTTTCATTTCAGAACTTTGCAGATTCCGCTCCCCCCACTTGCTGAAATGATGAACCGGGTTTCCATCTTTACATTTTATGACACACACTTGGTCTGAGAGTTGATGGGTCTCCAGCCTGGACTTTTCTGAGCTCTCCCACAGTTCTCCCTGAAGTTGGGCGGTGGGGAAGACCGGAGGTCAGGCTCCTCCAATCTCACCAAATGCCCCCTACCCATCAAGTGCTTCCCAAGTACACACACAGTCTAGACAGAATAGGCGTGAGCAGTGCAATTGCAGAAGCCAGGCAATTTCCTGGTGGCGCCTCTTTCTCCTGGTGTCACTTCCAGGACACTCACTCTGAAGATACTGACGTCCTGGGGCATTGTGGATCTGGAGGCCTGGTTTTGGGGGCCAGCTCAGCATTTACTGCATAGCCCAGAGGCCCACCAACTCCCTCCCACACACTGCAACGGAGAAGAGCCAGGTCCTGGGAGTCAGCACTCCCACGTGATTCCTCCCCTCAGAGCAAGCCCCTAGCGCCTTAGGCGTCTGGTCCGGCAGCCATCCAGGCCCGAGCTCTCAACTAACAGCAATGTCTTTTCTTCTCGGGGTCCAAGAGTCATCCTTGGAAAACGAGATGGCAGGTCTCTGCCTCAATTTGTGATACTTTTAGCACAGCTGGGGGCAGAGTATGAGCTCTCAGTAAGAGGCAGTCTTCCTTCTTTTATTATTAGGAAAAATGAGGGCCTGGGCTAAAGGTGGAAACAACCCAAATGTCCATCAGGGGCTGAATGGATAAACAAAACACAGTCTATCCATACAGTGGAATATTATTTAGCCTTTAAGAGCTATGAAGTGCTCGCTGACACAGCCCACAGCGTGAAGGAACCCGGAAACAGTGCTAAATGAAAGAAGCCAGAGAAGTGTGTGATTCCATTCACATGAACTATCCAGAATAAGCAAATCCACAGAGACAGCTAGCCAACTGGTCGGACTGGAGGAGAAGGGTTATGGAGTGACTGCTAATGGGGACAAAGTTTCCATTTGGGATGATGATAGTGGTGGTCGCCCAACACTGTGAAGGTGGTTAAAGACACTGAATTGTACACTTCAAAATGGCTTATATTTTGGGGCACCTGCCGTGGCTCAGGCCAGTTATCAGACTCTTGATTTCAGCTCAGGTCATGATCTCAAGTTTGTGAGATGGAGCCTGGCATCGGGCTCTACACCTAGCCTAAGATTCTCTCTCTCTTCTCTGCCCTTCCACTCTCTCTCTCCCTCTCAAAAATAAAATAAAATAAAATAAAATAAAATAAAATAAAATGGCTAATATGGTAACTTTGTTATATTAATTTTACCAAAAAAAAAATTTTTTTTAAGTAGGCTCCACAGCCAGCATGGAGCCCAACAGGGGGCTTGACCTCAGGACCCTGAGATCAAGACTTGAGCTGAGATTGAGTCGGTGGAGTAGCCAACCGAGCCACCAGGCGCCCCCCGCCATTTTATTAATGCGTAGAGTCGTGCCTGGCACAGAGTGAGTGCCCCATATAGATATCAGGTATTACTTTTGACATACATCCAAGGCATTTAATAAATGTTTACTGTCCTGAAAGGAACATCTGCCACGAGCCAGGCGCTTGACATTTGTTACCCACTTAATTCTCACAACAGTTTTGGGAAGAGGACATTTTTATGTTCATTTTACACAATAAATGAGAAAAAAGACTCCTAGAGAGTGTCATAATAGGCTCTGGAGGAAGGGAGGGAGAATAAGCTGACGATCAACGTCAAAATCCACGCTAAAATTCAGTGTTCCCTAATACTAACGATAATAATAATAAATTATTACATTCCATATAGTAAACACTACAAAAGTGGGGCCGCGCGGTGCATGGCCATGGGGAAGGTCCCAGGCTCCGGGACCCCTCAGAACCCGACTCTACCAGCAGAGGTGCGGCGCGGACGCGGCGCGGCGCCCCCTGGAGGCCGCGGGCGTGGGGGGGGGGGGCGGGCAGAGAACCCACCGGTCGCGCAGGCGCAGTGACAGGGCGCGGGGCGCTAGCGGCTGGACGCAGGCTCCGCGATGGTGCTGTCCGCCGCGGACCAGGCGGCAGTGCGCGCACTGTGGAGGAAGCTGGGGAATAATGTTGGGATCTACGCGACCGAGGCCCTGGAGAGGTGCGGGCCAACAGGCCCCGGCGCCCCACCGGCTCCCGGGCTTTGCGCCCGCTGCGAGGAAGCGCCCCCCGCCGCTCCGGGTGCCCCTTCTCCCCAAGCTTCCTCCCCCGGGCCGCACCTCACTCGCCCTTTCGCCCGCAGGACCTTCACGGCCTTCCCCACCACCAAGACCTACTTCGCCCACTTCGACCTGAGCCCCGGCTCCGCCCAGGTCAAGGCCCACGGCAAGAAGGTGGCCGACGCGCTGACCACCGCTGTGGCCCACATGGATGACCTGCCAGGTGCCCTGTCGGCTCTGAGCGACCTGCACAAGCACCAGCTGCGTGTGGACCCCGTCAACTTCAAGGTGAGCACGCGGGCCGGCGCTGGACCGGCTGTCGCCGAGGAAGGGGCTGGGAGAAAGGTGGCTCCGGGCGGGACCACTCTCTCTCCCCGCAGTTCCTGGGCCACTGCCTGCTGGTGACCCTCGCCCGGCACTACCCCGGAGACTTCGGCCCCGCCATGCACGCCTCGCTGGACAAGTTTCTGAGCCACGTGATCTCGGCGCTGGCCTCCAGCTATGGCTAGACTCGGAGGGGGTCGTCGCAGGACCCCCCAGCCGCCCCTCCCGCGAGTTCCAGAGTTCGAGTAAAGTCCCCTCAAGAAAGCCTCAGCCGGCGCGCGCTTGTTCTCTCTGGGGGCGCGCGCGGGTCTGCGGGGTGGGGGTTTCAGAAACGCCGGAGTCGCACCCCACCGTCGTCAGACCCGGGCGCGCCCCTGGCTGCCGTCTGGGCGCCCCGGGCCGTCGAGGGGAGGATCAGGTCGCCCCCACACCCGGCGCCTGAAGCGAGCTTGGTTGGGACCCTTGGTAGTGCCCCGGCCGGCGAGGCCCGTACTTCTTCTTCCAGATCCGGGCACGCGGGGTCGGGACCCTCCGTCTGGCCCGGGACCCGGCCAGAACCGCCAGCAGGGTCCAGCCTCGGCGAAAGTGAGGGAGCGGCACCCCCTGCCGGCGCGGCCCGGGAGCTGCGCAGACCTAGGCCCTGGAGGGAGGGCCTCGGGGGGGCCCTGGTGGGAGGGGCCTGGGGGCCCTGGAGGGGCGGACCTAGGGGCCCTGGAGGGACTGGCCTGGGGGGGCCCTGGAGGGGCGGGCCTGGGGGCCCTGGAGGGGTCCCTGGAAGGAGGGGCCTGGGGGGCCCTGGTAGGAGGGGCCTGGAGGCCGGGTGTGAAAGCCCCCCCCGCCAGACCCTGGACCTGGTTGGATGGTTGGAGCCGTGTAGCAGACAAGGTGCATCAGGGAGGCGGGCTGGAGTCCTGCCTGCATCCCACACTTCCAAGGAGACAGACGTCAGAGCGTGTTTTTATATTTTTCCTCTCAAAATCAGTCATTGCAGAAACTTCAGAAAATACCCCACTTACTGCACCTTCCTCTGTATCCCAGTGGGTCCAGCACATTCATTATTTCTTCAGCTCCCACTTGACACATGGGGAAACTGTGAACAAATGGGGAGGATATGGGGGTCAGATTAAGAGCATGCATGTGACACACACACACACACGGGCAGTAGCAATCCCACGAAGACATGCAACAAGCTAACATTTAATGCGTAGCCTTTCAGGTCCTTCCAGGAACATTTAGACATGCTTTTCTAAATGGTATCCTCAAAGTGACACTGGAAAAAGTGGACACATTGGACTATATAGAGAGGAAAAAAACCTCGGTATGGGGAGGAAACAAACCATGAAAAGCAGCACAGTTAAAAGGGGAATTGGAGGGCTCCTGGGTGGCTCAGTCAGTTAAGAGGCTGCCTTCGGCTCAGGTCATGATCCCAGAGTCCTGGGATCGAGTCCCATATTGGGCTCCCTGCTCCGCGGGGAGCCTGCTTCTTCCTCTCCCTCTGCCTGCCTCTCTGCCTACTTATACTTTCTATCTCTCTGTCAAATAAATTTTTTTTAAAAAAAAGAGGAATCGGAGAAAAATATTTGCCACAGATGGCAGTTGAAGGGTTATCTCTCTTATACAAGACAGACCTCCACATCCTTTTTCCTTCCCTGCCTTTTTTTTTAAGCTAGTCAACCCAATAGAAAAATAAGCCAAAGAATTGGGGCGCCTGGGTGGCTCAGATGGTTAAGCAACTGCCTTCGGCTCAGGTCACGATCCTGGAGTCCTGGGATCAAGTCCCGCATCGGGCTCCCTGCTCAGCGGGGAGTCTGCTTCTCCCTCTGACCCTCTTCCCTCTCACGCTCTCTATCTCTCATTCTCTCTCTCTCAAATAAATAAATAAAATCTTAAAAAAAGATCTGTTAAAAAAATAAGCCAAAGAATAGGCAACTCACAGTGTACCAATCGCCAAGAGACCTTTGCAATGGTCCTCAAAGACGTGCTTGTTAAAATGCTCTTTAACAAGACACTTAGCATGAAAAAATATTAAAAAGGCAAGATCTAATACACTTCTGGTGGAAGTGTAACTTAGAATGACCTTTTGGGGGACTCCTGGGTGGCTCAGTGGGTTAAGTGCCCAGGTCATGATCTCAGGGTCCTGGGATCCAGCCCTGCATGGGGTTCCCTACTCAGCAGGGTGTCTGCTGCTCCCTTTCCCTCTGCCCCCACCCCTGCTTGTGTGCTCACTCTCTCTCTCAAATAAATAAAATCTAAAAAAAAAAAAAAAAAGAAAGACTTTTTGGGAAGGTAATTCAGTTGTATACAGTGGTGAGCTGGTGAGTGTCTGATGACTGGCACTCTGGAAAACGGGGAAGGGGGCTGATTTGTAGCATTTGCCAGTTTCCATGGTGCCATCATGGTTGATTTCAAGTTATCAATATGCTATCACTGAATGGAAAATTAGGAAGAGATGCATAGTGTCTGCCATTGTGTTGTATTTCCACTGTCCAAATACAAGCTACAATAGAGGTGAACACAGACAATAAGAACATAGATAATAGTAAGTTGTAGTAACTTTATTAAAAGTAATGAGTTTTCAGTATTTATTACTTTTGTTTTTAACATAACCTATTTATTTATAAATTAATAGTTTAATTTTTTTAAATTTATTTATTTATTTGTCAGAGAGAGAAAGCACAAGCAGGGGAAGCAGGGATAGCGGCAGAACGAGAGGGAGGAGCAGGCTCCCTGCTGAGCAAGGAGCACAACTTGGGGATGGATCCCAGGCTGCAGAGATCATGACCTGAGCCGAAGGCAGATGCTTAACGGACTGAGCCACCCAGGCACCCCTAGTTTAATTTTTAATAGTGGCGCTCTCAGGATTCCTGAAAATTTAGCATGAGCTAATACGGGCAGTCTTCACTCATCAATGGCTATATCCTTTAAATCCAAAAAGTGCACCCCGGGCACACTTTGGTTGTGGAGCAGCCTCCAGCGGTCTCCTCTACAAATGGGCTCCGTGACCTAGTGTCCCGGTTCCCGCCGCCTGTGATCGCACATCGAGGCCCTCGGGAGGTCGCCAGCCCACGAGCGACAGCATGGCAGCCATCCCCTCAGCGGCTTGCTGGTGGCTACCCATAACTATTACTGGCACCGCCTGGGTTCCACTTCCAGTAGCAGCTCCTGTGGAAGTTCGGAGTATCCTGGGGAAGCCATCCCTTACCACCAGGGTCTCCCCAAGGCCAACCCGGGTCACTGGTGGGCAAGCTTCCTTTTTGGGAAGTCCACTCTCCCGGTCCTGGCTATTGTGTCAGGGTCCCCACAGCGCTTGGAATCTCCCCAGGCCTCCAGCGGCACGGTCACCTGTGACTTGGCTCTGGAAGCTTTGAGGAAGCAGCCTGGCAAAGCCAACACAGGTCAATCTTGAATGGCCACCACCAGGCTTCAGGAGGTGCTGGGCTCATCAGACCACCCCGCCCAACACACACACACACCAGATCCCCTCCCCATAGACTAGGCAGGCTGCCGCAAGCAGTAGCAGTTGGGTTCTTTTATATCAAAATAGCAAAACACCAAAAAGGAAGTTCAGAGAACCCCACTCTTTACTACCCAAGCCTCACAGAAGCCTTCCTGACACCCTGGAACCGTGTGCCTTGCAACGGGTGTAAAACTCCAAGCAAACAGTTAAAATAAAACAAAACAAAACACCAGTGCAAATTCTTTAAGCCTGCAATATTGCTTCTGGGAATTTATCCTACAGAAAATGGTGGCACACATATATAAGGATGTATATACAGTGATGTTCTTTGCACAATCATTTATTAGAACTGAAAAATGTTTAAAAATAAGAAAATATGGTGCACAACCAACACACTGACCAATGGGAAAGAAGTTGAACTGTGTTGCAAGGGACCGCTGTGTGTAGCCATTACAGAGAATGAAGTCAGCTTCTGAGCACAGACAGGGAACACTGCCGGCCAAGACATTCACGTATCAGATCACGCTGCAGGTCAGTGTGTAGAGCAGAGATCCACCTTCACACTGGTATGGTCACAAGACTTGACATTAGGGGTGCCTGGGAGGCTCAGTTGGTTAAGCGACTGCCTTTGGCTCAGGTCATGATCCCATGGTCGTGGAATCGAGCCCTGCATCGGCTCCCTGCTCAGCGGGAAGCCTGCTTCTCCCTCTCCCACTCCCCCTGCTTGTGTTCCCTCTCTCGCTCTCTCTGTTAATTAAAAAAAAAAAAAAAGACTTAATGACATTATACACTGAATGTTAGCAGCATTTTCCACGGGCCTGAGACCAAAGAGACCGAGAAGGAGCTTTCACATTTTTTTCCCACCACATTTCACATAATCCCAGAAAAGGAAGGTTGGGGTATGAGTGATTTTTCATTTTTACAAGTAATTTGCAGAAAATCTTGCTCCGAACATCTGTAGCTAAACTTTGATACAGAAACATTCACACAACTATTGTCTTGGGGGATTTTTATAGAAGTGGAATTTCTGGGGTGTGTGGTATGCTCATTGCCGTGGCTCTTTGGTGAGATTGCCCAAATCGCCTTCCGTTACAGCTCCAGCAGCAGGAGGAGAGTGCCTGCATCCCTCCACAGGGGTTGGCAGCTCCCCTTCGACTACTAGTGAAGGTGAATGTGTGAACTGCCCACCTGTGTCCTTTCCCATTTTCCTACTGTGGCATTCTTCATCAGATTAGCCCACAGAAGCCCTTCTAATGTAAATCCGTAGAAGACTTTGAGGTCATTTTGGGCACTGGAATTACTTGCCCATTTTTTTCTGTCTTTATTTTGTGTGTGTGTTTGTGTGGCTGGGGGGTGGGAGGTGGGGGTGGGAATGCTTCCTCCAGGTACACCCAGCTCTTCCTTCAGGGCTGTGGGCCCCCGTCATTGCTCCAAGATGGCCTGTTCCGAGCTGTCATTTCCAACCTGGGAAAAGTGGCTATAGTTTCATTTACAGCTAACTAAAAATGCTTGGCAAAATGGTTTAAATAGTTGGGGTTTTTCTTTTTAATGTTTTTAACTAAGTAAGCTCTACACCCAACGTGGGGCTTGAACTTACAGCCCCAAGAGCAAGAATCACACAGTCTACCAACTGAGCCAGCTGGACACCCAGGCTAAATGCTCCTAAAAGCATCAAAGAGCAAACAAGATAATAAGGAACTTTCAGGCCTAAAACTAAGGCAAGAGCTCAGAGAGGGAGAGGTTATCACAACACCTAAACTACCTGGGTCCTGAGGTATTTGCCAAAACTAGCAAACGTGGGCTGGAATCT